AGCAATTCTTAATCTTAAACAATGCATATGAGTACATTCTTGAGAAGTATTGCTTGGTGATCTAAAAAAATTTGAACTACTTGGCGGGTAGTTCGTATTTACACAGAAATGAAATGATCTGATATAAGTCAAATTGATTAGCACTCAGATGATTTGAAATTATTGACTTAGACTTGGTACAGAAATTTTTGTTCAAAGAGAATAATACAAAAAATGCTAGTTGAGTTTTTGTGCTTGTTCCAGACTGATCTTGTAAAACTTGAAGACATAATAATTTGTTAATTTAATTAATAAGTATATCTGTAGAATCTGAATGCTTGCATCTGCTTATATCCAACCCTAAAATCATTTCAACTTATTGTTTTGCCTTTTTGAACTTTTGACACAATTTTAAAAGAAGGTAGAAGATTATTGAGCAACCACTAATTTGCATAATATCATTCTAAACAAATTCGGAGTATATCAAAATTTGCATATCACATGTAATCAAATACAACAAACATTTTTTACTTTGTTGCATTTTCTACCAATATATCATACTTAATATTTAAATAATCGAATTAATACTGCTTATTTACTTTACAAAAAGTAATGTCCAGTATCATATAAAATTGTGATTAGGGAATAAAAAATTCAGTTGTCATTCTATTTTAAATATTATTTGTATGACATATACAATAACAAAAATTTGCATATTCTCAATGCAGTCATGAGCCTTGATGCTTGTTTTGTTTGCATGTATGATTGACTTGATACTTTTATACTAAAATAATATTTTTACCGCTTGAATTTGCAATAATTACTTTTTATTTCTTCAGCAAAATTATAGGTTTATTTTAAAAATTGCAGTAAATATTCATGAAAAAATTAATCAAAAAAAAAGTTATTAAATGAAAATTTTATGACTTTTGTATTGTATTTTGAGCAAATTCTAGCATTAATTTTTGATTTCGAACAAATTTTACTCAAAATTATTGATGTGATAAAGCGTATTAATTTACTTTATCACGTGATTCAAGTACGTGATAAGTTATAAATAATTCATTGTGATTTTGCATTTTTAAATTAAAGCAATATAAATACAACTTATTGATAACTTATTTTATTTTTGCTTTTTAAAAATAATATGTTATGACAAAAGCAGTGCTAATTAACGTGAGCATGTAAATAATTATAGCAAAATTAATCACTGCATTATAATATATTACAAATTATAAAACTAAATCTCAATTAGCTTAAAAAAGGAGGGAATTGCTTTAGGCACCACTGGAATAAAAATTACCCGTTGTTTTCCACCACAACAGGCAATTTTTGGCATTGATTATCACTGATGCAAGTTAAATTTTCACACAATTTCTTATCATTCTTTAAGGATTTTTCACGAGCTGCTGATAAGCTAAGAATTACTGACGCAGCACTTGGCCGATGCTGTGATGTTGGAATCATTAGCTGAAATTTGCATAAATTTGAAATCTCTCTGCAAAGTATGATACTGTTTAATAATTCTTATCACATAAGCTCATTTATTATTGCACTGAATTGAATATAAAATTAAATTCGTATTTTTGTTTGATAGGTAAAATTCAATTGACACTATCCTACTTAATTAATTAATTATTCTTGATCTACTCTTTCATTGGTATTCAATAGTCTTTTGTACACTATTTGAACAAATAAAATAAATAATAAATCTTGAGCAATATTATAATATTCAAGTAATTGATTTTTTAATTACTATGAGATTAATTATTTGAAGTAAAGTAATAACTGAAAAATTTTGTAAAGTATAAAAAACAAAATATTAATATATTAATGAACAATTTTTTTTTAAATTTTACTGTACTCATAAAGTTTGTTATTATCAATTAAAAAGTTTTTTTACCTGTTTTGTACGAGTAAAAGTGACACTTTGATTGCGCTGTCTTGATGATACGTAAAATAAATCTACGCGACTATAATCTTCTATGAATCTAAAATAAATAGAAGTAGTAGTATTCATTAAAATTATCATTATTACTGTACACTAATAATCAGTTTAAAAATTTAATAACTATGCAAAATACTGAAAATATTTATTCAAGCAACAAGGAAAAAAATCAATAAAAAAATCTTAGACAATCAATAAAAAATTTCAAGCGACAAATTGAAATAGTTTACGATTATTAAATCAATTAAAAATTGTAAGCGACAAGTTTAAATAATTTTAAATAAAGTTATTTATATGAAAAAGAAAAATTATCCGAATAATATTAATACTTTGTAACTCTTTGAATCGAACAAAAGCCACAAAATAATTGCAAGAAAGTCGCACGAAAACGCTTATTCATAATACAGTAAATTAAGAAGTTAACTGCTGAATTGATAAGCGATAAAAGATCCATAAAATCGCCCATTGGTAAATAAACCTAAAATGCAAATTTTGTATTGGACAAGAATATTAAAATAACAAAATTTGACTAACTTTATTT